AATATACGAGTGTCAATTGAATTATTTGCAATATGCAAAGCTAGTAATATATTATAACACAATATAACAATTTCTGTTACAATTTAAGTTTGAATAAGAATGTTTTTTATTAAAGAGCATTTATATATCAAGCCGGCAATATTTACATTCAAGTCAATAATATCAGTAGATGATGTGAATAGCCGCGTTTGACAGTCAACTCAATTAAGATTTTATATTAATATTTCAAATAGAATTCAATTCACTTATTAGTTCTATACAAAGGACTTAAATACTAGTTCTTTTTATTGCAACTTAAAAAATGCTTGTAAATATAGAAAATGTGGTTTTAGAAAGCACTTATTTTTTGCATTTAAAAAACAAAAGTGTTACTAAAAGACTTTAATTTAAGAATCTGTTAAACACATACAGTCATTCTTATAACTGTAACGTAGTTCCTTGTTCCATCTCTTCGATAATGATACAACAATATAAAACTAGAGAACTATTAAGTTAGTTGTTATAACAACTTTATTACTATAGTAAATGATTTGCCTTAAAATTTACTATAAAAATATGGCTCATAACCGACACGCAGCCTTGGAACAAAACTTACTTAGACGGAAACTTGATACTACTTCCTTCTTTTCTATTTTTATATTCAGTTTCATTATTTTTTTGAGCTCGAATACAGTACCACAAAAAAAAAGTAAAAATAAAATTCAGCTATAAAAAATATGGCAACAAACTGATACAACAAACTGATAACAAAACATTTTTAGGCGTTATTGTCGTTGTTATGCTGGCAACACCATGAATTCAAATGAATAAATGCGATATGTGCTAAAATCACGGAAATAGACTTGAATTGTTTTTATGTGCAGGAAATAACATGGCGGGTGTGAATTCAAAATAAAAATGGTGTATATTTTATTTTAACCAACAAAACCAAACAAAGAAAAAAAAAAATAAATGAATATTTTGTATTAAATTTTCTAAAGAAAAAGTGAGAGTGTTGTTTAGTTTGCATAAAACATATTTAAGGTTATGTTCAAAAATTTTCAGACTGAGAATTTTCAAACAATTTTGTGGGGCAAAAAGTATTTCAAAGACTAAGCAATGATTATTAATTTGTATTAGTAACTAAAAGAAGCATTTCTGTTATTAAAACTAAATCTAAAAACAATGAATGCAGTTGAAGATATCGTTCCTCAAGTAAAAAGTATATATATATATATATATAACATATGTCACTTTAAAGAAATATGATAAACTTATGATAGCTCCCAGGATATTGAGTTGTTTTTTATTTACATTAAATATTTGTAGTAATTATCAGTTGATCAATACATTATAAATTTGCAAATTGAACTCTGCTATAGTTTATAGTAGACTTCTTATTTTATGTCACTTTTACAATGGACAAATTTCAACAGACATAACAACAAAAAGTAATAAGTCATAACATTATAACATTCATATATTATTATAGCACGATTATAATAACTTTTTTGACTGTCAAAATAAACTAAAAATCACACTCGAAACACTCGTTTTGTTAATAATCTTAAATTAGATTTAGTAATTTTATTGCAAAGAATAATTTAAAATATAACATCCCTGACTTTGAAGGCAGCTCTAAGAACTGCAACCAAACTAATTTCAAAGAATCGAAACATGATACTACAAAGAGCAACTGTTTGCTTAACCAATGACATTTAAAAAGTTAGTGCTACTTTATTCAATAGAGTTTAACCCTTCCATCTGGTATTTTTTCAACCTTTAAATTTAAGGTTTTAACAAATACAGAAAATTATATAAAACTCATGACTTCCCTTTAAATTATTTAACATTAATGTTTCTCAAAAATTTTGAGCCCATTTTCCGACCAAAATGTACATAACTAACTGTATTCTGTTGAATCATCGTACGGCATGCATATTTGTAGTAACACATACGTTTGACGTCTTTAAGTCTATTGCTGGGTATTTACTTAGTGGCGTTTCGTTTGCAAGATGACTTGACAAAAATCTTCCCGACTTGCAAAGCCGCTTGCACTACAACTTGTAAGTCTTAAAAATATAAACACTTACTTATTACAACTATGCTTCCCCTTAAACACTTACGCTAAGCAGAAGTACGAGTACATCAAAAATAAATACAAAAAAAATTATATATATCCAACAAAACAGAACAGACTAATGCATAGTGAGACGCCCCTGCTTTTAGGCCAAAACGAAAAAAACAAAAAACACAAAACGACCGTTAAAAAAATTCACAAAAATTATGATTCAGCATATTTGCTGTTTTTTAATATAATAATTTTTTTTCTTTAACAATATTATTTTATTTTCTCTAAAAGCAACATTTTTCGGCATTTTTGTATAGTTCATAAGATGCGAATCTTGCCTTTTAACTGCCACCCATTTTTTCTCGCTTGGTACATATCCAGTGTGAATTGTGGCGTGTTCGCCTATGTGCTCCACAATGTAATGTGAGTGCGTAAAAAATATATATCATTAAAGTACATCTAAAGTATATGAATTTCAAATTATTACAGACAAAGTGTAGCCAGCGCATTATGCTGGTTGTCTTGAGATTTCCGAACTACGAGTATAGGCCTGCGTTTTCATGTTACGGTGACGGTGCAATTTTTACTCTTTTTTTGTATTTTGGTTTTGGTTTTTTCGCTTCAAAATGACTCTGTTATTTTTGTCATAGCAGACTTGCAGACGTCAGTAACGCCACTGTCTTACGATTGTTGTTAAGCGTTT